ACCAGCCAATAAAAGATATTTAAACTGCTTTTGCATTTGCCCCCTATCTCCTTTTTAACTACATTTTGCCAAGAACATTTAGTACATTTAGTGGTAGGCTAGCAATGCATTTTATTGCATGTCTCTTATTTAAAAGAAAATACTCAGTTTTCGTATTACACATGCCATCTGTCTGGGTCCTCTTGTTGCTGCTATAGCAGAATGCTATCGACTTCGTAAATTGTATATAAAGTTCATTTGACTCACAGTACTGGAGGCTTGGAAGTCCAAGACTGAGGGGCTGCTGTGGGTGGCAGCCTTCAGCCTTCTTGCTGTGTTATAGTACAAGTACGTGGTGGTGGTAGTGGTGGGGAATTGATTAGAATTTGCCCACCTCTGTGATGATGGCCTTGCTCTATTCATGTGCCCAATCCATGATTTAATCATCTTTTTTTCCCCAATATTTTAGAGAAGGGTCTACAGGGTATTCAGGGTCTCACTACTAGATCGGACTCTGTATTGATTCTCCTGTTTATAGCCTCCCAAGTGCTGGGATTACAGGTGGGTGCCACCATGCCCAGTCTCAATTGCTGCACACTGGGGGCTGGGCTGGCACAGCAGGCCCAGGGATCCAACTCCCGGTCCCTGTGCCTGCTTGCAGATGCTTTAATCTGCTGAGCTATTTGGCCAGCCCTAATCATCTTTTAAGGGTCCCATCCTTTCATTTTTTAATTTTTTAAAGTTTTTTGTGGCACTGGGGATTAAACCTAGAGCCTTTTTGCTGAGATATATCCTGGCTCTTTAAAAAGTTTTCATTCTGAGACAAGATCTTGCTAAATTGCCCAGCCTGGGCTGAAAATTGCCTCAGCCTCCTAGAGTGCTGGGAATATAGGTATGCACCACCATTCAGTATAGGTGTGGCTCCACTTCTTAACACTGCCACAGTGGTGACTACATTTCAAAATGATTTTTTCATATTAGGAATTGATCCATGGCCTCACATGTGTTAGGCAAGAGCTGTACCATTGAACTAAACTACTCTCCCAGACCTTTAAAATTATTTATTTATGTATTTATTTATTTATTTTGGTGCCAGGGATTGAACTCAGGACCTTGTGCTTACCAGGCAAGTGTTTATGCCGTTAAGCTATCTCCATGGTCCTTATATTTTATTTTGAGATAAGGTCACAATAAGATGCTCAGGCTGGCCTTAGGCTTCTGATCCTACTGCCTCGGTCTTCTAAGTAGCTGGTATTAAAGTTTACACCACACATACCTGGATCAGTGTCTTTGAGGGGTCGTTCAAACCACAGCACTGTCTCATCTTTATCCACTTGGCAATTGACTTAACCACACCAAGATCTGCGGGTGCCTGCCTCACCATGCCTTCCTCTTTTCATTTTCTACATCTCCACCTGATTCACTTACTGTCTGATTAGACGACGGTTTTTCTTATTTTCCTCCTGTGTGGGAAAACTCTCTGGCCCTTTGGATTTTTGCTTCCTGCTTGGGCAAGGGCAGCCTGACTGGCACAGGATGGCTTTCTCTCCATGGACTGGTGAGGGAATGTACACTGTCCTCCAGCACCGATTTTGCCCTAATTATCCTAGTTCTGTCAACTGGTTTTCTTCAGGGAGTTTGTATGACTTTTCTCTTTAATTATGGAATTTCGGAATCTTCCCAGGTTCTGCGTCGTGTGTATTTTTCCATCCCTCCTGCCTGGAACTCCAGCAGCTTTCCAGTCTGTGAACCCAAGGCATTCTTCATGGAAAGTTTGCCTTCTTATTTTAAAAATGATTGCTTCTCTTCCATGTGTTTTTTTTTCCTTCTATTAATTTAATGCTTACTTTTATTATTTATGATTTATGTCTCCTAGACCCCTGTCCTCCTAGGTGCTTACCTTTCTCAACGCCATTTCTCTGCTATATTTTTGCTTTGGGTTTTCCATGATTATTTCCACTTGACTCCCCCAAATTTCATCCCTCCTCCACTTCATTTTCTTTTTCTTTTTGGCAGAACCAGGGATTGAACTCAGGCCCTTGCGCTTGCCAGGCAAGCACTTATTCTACTGAGCTATCTCCCTGGCCCCTCTTCAATTCATTTTAAACCTAAAATCATGTTTCCTGATTTAGGAAATATTTTCTCATCAGATTTTTAAAAAAGTATTCCTGTTGTTTTGTGTTCTTTTTCCTGATATCCTGCAGGCCGCAGTTAGTCTTGCCCTGCAGCTTCCAGCACGTCGCAGGCTTTTCTTCCTGGGTGCTGGATCTCCTCAGGTGCAGCCTTTCCTTCCCCTGTCTTCTTGCAGCTCATCATCCCCAAAGCCCACAACCAGCCAACACACTGGCTGTGCCTTGCTGTGCTCCAGGAGGAAGCACTCTGCTTCTGTAGCTGCAAGCCCTGCGGCCCAGGGGATGTTGGTGTCTCCTCAGGACCACCCAAGGCTGCTGGCTGGGCTTCTTCTCTGGTGGATCCTGTGCCAAGCTCTCTCTCCCAGCTGTGGTGATCTCTTACCCAGGGCTCTCTCTGCTGCCCATCCCTACTGTCTGTCCCAGAGGGAAGCTAAGTCCTGAGCCAGCCCTCTCAGCACTTAGGCCCTGCCCTACCCACCAGGTCTGGCTCTGGCTGATCCTGGACCTTAGCCCAGCTGCTGCGGCACTTCTGGAACTGAGAAAGGAGGGCAGTGGGACTTTCAGGCCGCCATCAGTGGGAAGCTTCAACTAAAGAGAGGCTGCAGTGTGCACATATGGAACCCTGGTTGCTCGGGAGGCCCAGGCAGGAGAATTGTAAATTTGAGGCCAGCCTTGGCACCTTGGTGAGGCCCTG